TATATGCTTTCAGTACTTAGTATAGTTGGATGGCATTATGAGGCTCTTTGTATAACAAGTATATTATTGTTTTTTTTTATAATAATTCTTGGTAGTTGTAGCTTAGTTACAACTACATATACTTATACTAGCTATACCTATATTGGTAATTCCAGGTTCTCTTAATGTCTAAAGACGGTACAACCAAAGCCTGTTTGATCTATCAACATATTCATGCCTCTATGTTTTAACTTCTTATTGGCTAGAGAATTTCATATGATACTAGAAGTGTTCCAAATTTGGTAAGACCAATTCTTTATTACAGGTCCTTTTGTGTTTTACCACTTTTCTTACTATTTCAATTCTAGTTACTATCTGGTTATTCTCTCAATCAAGATCCCCAATGCTGCTTTAGAGATTGTTGGTGCTACCTATGCCAACTGAGGATTTACATATACAACCTTCAGGTAATAGAACCTTCAGTAACATCTGCCTATTATACATAGTGTCATTTCTCCACAATGGATCTCTTTCTAGAAATTTCTATATCAAATAAGTACTCACTTAAACTTCACATGTATGAGTATACTCAAATATTCGTAAATAAGCATATCTACTAGAACTTAAATCTGAAACTTACTCGTGAAGGATTGGGTGCCTAGACCACTAGGCTGTGGGATCCCAACTCTATAAAACTTTTTTTTAAATTTTTTTAATATTAATTTTAATATAAAAACAACTCTTTCTAATAATTATTTGTATCAAACTTTTCTAAAAAATTTTCTTAAATAAAATAGACTAAACTAATTAAAAAGTAATTAAAGAGAAGAATCTTAGTATCTGTTATTTAAAAATAATTCTTATTGGATTTTTATAATTTGATTTAATTTGATTTGATTTGATTAAATATTTAACTTTAAATCAAATTTAAATACAGAAATTTCAAATCAAATCAAATTCAAATTAATAAATATTTGATTTGATTAAATATTTAAAATATAGTGCAGAACACCTAAAGGTATAAGTTATATGACTTTGTTATATTTTAGTTCAAATTTTGAAAATGTTTCAAATTGTACAAAAAACTGATTTTTATGATACTATAGTCACATGACAATTATATATAAAATATGTTTGAAGCCAGTTTTATTTTTCATATATTTTAACAGGTTGTATATCAGAATCCCAATACACAAAATCCCAACACACAAAATCCCAGCAACAAAATCCCAATACACAAAATCCTGACAAATTAAATTTCTAATTTTAATATTTTTAGGATTTTAATTTGTTCGGAATTTTGTGTATCAGGATTTTGTTGCCAGGATTTTGTTTGTTAGGATTTTGTATGTCGGGAATTTGATATACAACCCTTAATTATATCCTATTATTTTGAAAATTTGCTGTACTAAATTTAGTATAACAATATTTATAGATATTTTATTAAATTTATAATATAATAAACTAAACTATACTTAAAATATATTCTTTAAGTTTATATCTTTACAAATTTAAAAAATGATTGCTAAAACAATTTTTATATATTCCTTTTAAGGTATTATAAATGCAGTGATATTTTGTTCTTGTACTGTATAATTTACAACGAAGTTGTGGATAAACTATCTTACCTAGATAAGTTTTTCATGTTGAAAGAGAATATAACTGATGTTGTTGATTTAATTGTGATTGTGTCTGCATTCTTGATAATAGATCTTCAATTATTTGACTATGTTTACTAATTATTTCATATACTAACTGTCATTTAAACTCAAAATGTGATGTATTTTGTGCATTTTCATACCATTTTTTAAAAGTAAAAAAGGCATTTGCTTCAGCAATACCAAGTAAAAATACAAATATACACATTTGCCAGCTTGTTCCTTGTATAATATCATGAAAAAAAGGCATAGTATCACACACCTAATAATTATTAATAAGTTTAAAATAATATAATATATAAAATAATATATTATATTACTATACCTGGTTATTAATATCAATGGCTCTTTTTGATTTAGAGTATTTCCCAAAAATTTTTAGTCTAATAAATTTAGCAATTGATGAATTAGTATTATCTTCTACTATACGTTCAACCTCATCTTCATTTGCTATAGTTAATGTAGTTGCAATAATACATTGTAGTTTTTAATCTCGTAGAGATGCAGCAATCAAAAATACATCATCAATAGTTGTACCTTTTGAGATATAAGACCCATAAGCAGTTTTAAGCTTTTGAACCATATTCTGAGGATAATTAACAGGCCATGCTCATCTTTTTTTAACATGAAAAATACTATATAATCCATTTTTTATTAATAATATACAAGCTTTAAAGATCTAAACCAACTATCACCAACTATTATTTACCCAGTACCAAACTATAGACATGCTAATCACAATACATATACAGCAATACTACTATAATTTGCTACAAATTGCTTTTTTTTTCGATTTCTTTGTCTTCACAAGGTTCTAACTGAATAATAATACAGGTAAAACTATCAGCAAGAGATTTCCACTCTTAACCTACTAGATGTAGTTTTCAAGGTATTTTGTGACATTCTGAAATTTTGTTTTTTTTACCTAGCCATGTATTCATTAACTTATCAACATATAAGGTTTTTTCAAATTTCACAGCTTTAATCAAATTATTATTAAATATATTAATAAAGCTACAAACAGAATACAATAGATTATTATAATTTGGAGCTCTTAATTCACTAGGTGTCATTAAGGTATAGTATAATAATATTTGCTTGAATTATGAAAGACTTATCCAACAATTAAAGACAAATGGTTCTATAGGTTGTATATGTATATATGCTATTTTCCAATAAAAACATCGATCACTTACAAGAAAAACAGAAATTAACACCCATAAATCTAATCATAATTTGTATTTATTAAAATTTAAATCCACCTAGCTTTGACTTTCTCTTTCACAAATATTAATTGAAAGAATAATATTTTGTTCGATATAACTTAGTGGAAGATATTGATAAAATAATATATAAAATAAAGCAAAATTAATTAATAGAATATTAACTTTATATAAATTAATATATGCTAAATTAATTTTTCATTAATCAACAGTTACTAGCTTTTCTTGCCAATTTACTCTAGTAGTTAAATCAATTTCGCTAAAGCTATCAGAACTATTACTTTCTGAGCTACTATTACTATCACTAAAAAGCTCTTTAGGATTTACAAAAGATTCTGTTATATTTGTTTATTTGGATTAATCTGCTCTTCATATCATAAGTTACCCACAAAAATATTTACAACTACATTTTTTTCAATTTCCTCTAATTTTATTTTAAACATCTGATACTCTTTCATAGTTAACTGACCAATGACTATACTATAGATATATAGTTCTTTTAATAATTCATCTTCATATTGTTCAAAGTGCACTGATATAGTTTCTTTAGATAATACTGATGCTTTACAACTAACTTGTTCTCTAATTGTTATTTTATTTAATATTCTTAGCATTGTATACTCCAATTATTATTGATAGCAGGAAACTAACAAATATTAAGGTAATAGCTAATATTATTTAAAGTTTTTATTCATTTCATATTAAAAGTAAAGGCTTACATTATACTTGAATAAGCTACTTTTATAACACCTAAAAATTTCATTTAATAAAAAATATTATTTAAATTTTCATATAAAATATTCATATATATTAATATAAAATTTTGCAACTAAATTTAAATTGATTGTTTATTTTCTTTAATAGCTTAAAAAAGTCCATATGTATAGTAAAAGTATTATATATCTATCAAGTGCGAATAACTTTAAAATTTTTTATTCAAATAAAATTTATTATGATTTTAATACAAATATACCATATTAACAAACTTTTTTATTGTTGATGTTTAAGAAAAAAAAACTTAATAGCTTATCACTGATATTTACATACAACAATAGAACTTATTGTTTATTTACTCTTGTAACAATTAACTCATAAATTTACATTAAATTCCTATTGATATATCAATATTACTAATTAAAACCTGACATAATACTTTATTGTTATTTCATTTATGCACTAATTTGTCCCAAGTTCAACCAATCAAAAGTAGTAATGAGACTTATTTATAATCTGATAATAAATCTGGAACTAACTTACAAATATTACTTTGCTAATTATGAATTGGTATGTGTTTTAATAAAACCAGTTCTTTAGCATTTTAGGAAACTGATTTAGAAATAATCAATGAAGTTGATCGAACTTCTGCAAAGAAATCTGCATATACTTGCTATAATAAGAATATTTATTTAGTTACCACAATAAACTATATCTGCTTGTTTATGCATTCGCACAATTTTATGTACTAGTCAAAATGCACTTTTTATTTTATTTCGATTTTAAAACTGTACTAAATTTAGTATTTTGTACTAAATTTAGTACAGAAAATGGATAACCATTAAGTAAACTAATTTTAAATTTCTAATAAAGGTTGTAAAGCAGATCTTTTTGATTCTAATAGTAGTAAAATTATTAAAATTGGTTAAATATTCATCAAGATATATGTGTTTAAATATTAAGTATTATAAATTGTTTATAAAAATCATATAATAATCATATGACATAAACCAATCAAAATCAATGATTTTGTGTAACTACAGAGAATTTGCTGACTATGAAAAACTTTACAATATATACAAGTATATTTTTTTAAAATATTTAATATATTAAAAATTTTACTATTATAAAGAATAGATATTAACTATATAATATAAAAATTTTATAAAAATTAATTAAACCAGTAAAAAGTTTTATTAGTAGCATATTTTTATTTTTTATAAAAATCATGTTGTACTACAAAAATCATATGATAAATGATCTATGTATACTCATACTCTATTCTTAAACCGACAGCTTCTTGCTAAACAAGTCAAAAAAGCAAAATTTACCTGGATTTGATATATGAAATTTAGGTGCGTCAATCATATAATCTATAATTAAAAATTTTACATGTAACAAATCGTGTGACTGATATTACAAAGTTTTATACATTATTATTATCTGTAACCAATAAAAACATTTGGATCTAATTTTACACTCGTAGTTGTTTACATGAATAAATAATGTACCGTTGTCTCATTATGCCTGAGCTCTTTATGCTGAGAATATTAGATAATATTAGGCAATACTTCCAAATTTTACCAGATAATATCTAAGAAATTTAAATAAAAGTATTGTACAATAGTGAATTTATTCTGCAAAAAGTGATTTACTTTTTAGCAAAAATTGCACTCTTTGTTAATAAACTTTTATAAAAGGAATCACAATGCTCAATTTCTTGCAAACATCTTTATAAATTTTCAGATGTTGGGAATAAGACATCAAACTGAGCAAGCGAGGCCATGATCGTAGCATGTTAGCTCGTCGAACTGTAATGCAACTAATCAGTTTCGTCAATTCCTAAAAAATGGATTATGTGAATCATTATAATGCTATTTTAATAGCGTTTCAAATATTGTAAAGATTAAATTACCTGCAAGACCTGTCATACGATTTTGGATACTCTTGGCTACTGCAAAAGTCCAAAGAAATTTCTGCGAAATTATTTAAGCAACACCCTCAGGTAGTAAATCATTATATATGAAATAATTACTTGTAGATGGAACGTATGATTCCGGCCGAGTAACAAGTGGTTGTGGTTTGTTACACATGATAGCTTCCATAACTGCATCAACTTCTTCGTCTGAATCAACGACCCCATCATCATTTTCGCAGACTTCTACTGTACTTCCATCATTCTTGCTATTTTCTGCTTTATTGTCTGGTACACCATTATCTTCATTAAAATAGAACCGATTAATAGAGTTTATAAATAGTGTATATATAATCACTAAACTTATTGTAATTTAAGTTCGCTTTATTTACTTTGTGGGCGACCAATTGACTTCTTTGGATACTGAGAGAGCAATGTGTTAAATGGTTGTGAACGACCCTGAACTGCTCGTTTCAAGGCCATAGAATGACTTTTACAAGTCAATGAACGTGAACACTGCATACCGGTATGTTCAATTACTCCACATTGTTTATCCAAGTCAATTGGTCCTATTAGTGTTAAATGTCAAGAATGTATTAATTAGTATGGTTTAAAATCATTTTATTTTTTTTATTTTTAAAATATGGTTGTTCATTACCTTTATTTCGTTTTGTTAATTTGGATTTCTTTTCTTTTTCCTTCTTAACTTTTTGCTTTTTTACAGGGGATGATCTCGTATCTGATGCTGACGTAGAAACTTTGGTCGATATCGATCTTTCTGTCAATTCTGCTATTAAAATTATAATTATTATTTATTTTATTATTTAAAAAGAATTAGCGTTATGAAAAAAAAAAGTGAAACTTACCCTCAGAAGTAACGGATCGTTTACGTTTTTTATTTGAAACATACGTGCTATCTATATCTTTTGAGTTTTTATTTACAGGTATCTCATCTACAGGTATCTTCTTTGTGGATGTCAAAGACATCGCTTTTATCTTTTCACAATCTTCTGAATTGGAAAATAAGTACGTTAATTATAAAGAAACAGTTTTAACTAATAAATCTGATTTTATTGTATGTAAAAAGAAAAAAATGAAGCGCACAAAATACCAGTATGCTCTACAAAACCACTTGCAAACAGTTTTTTCGAACATGTATTACATTGTATAACTCCAGATTCTTCTCTTGCGGGTTTGCACCCATAAGTCTTCATATGTAAAATGTTGGTCAAGGATTATAAAAGAAATGTTTTGTGACAAATCGTATCATATAATTAAAGGATATCATCATATTTGAATCTAGACAATACTGACGGCGGGACATTGACTTCTTGTGAAGTCAACACAACGTCCTCTTCGTACTCGTCTATTGAATATGATATGTACGAACGAACGAGTATTTAATATACCTAATAACTTAATATATATATATGAAAAGGTAAGATTAAACAAACCTTCGTCTAAAATGGCTTCTTTCAATTCACTCCATGAAGAATATGCTTCTATCGGCACTTCCCGTGAAACAACCAGCGGAGTTTGAAAGGCCTCCGTCCATTCGTCTTTAAAAAGCGATATTGAAGCAGGTGACAGTAATGACTTCCAACTGGGGTTCATTTCGTGATATTTCAAGAAATATATTTGAGTTAAATTGCATAAATAAAAGTACAATGTTAAATTCTATTAGAAGTTTTGAAAAAAAAAAAAATTAAGTACAATAAAGGATTAAGATGCAGGATTACGAAAAAAAAAATTCATTGCTATACCATATATTAATAAAATTTCCAACGACCAATCAGCCATTTCCACAATTGATTTTCAGCACTAAGCCAAATGATGATCTTTGTACCTCGTTACCTGGCTGAATAATAACGAAACATCAATATAACCAGTTAGCATCCGCTTTTTTATTAATAGTTAATAGAAATTACGCCAAGCTCAAAATCAGCTCCTAAATTCACCACAAGGGTTTATTCAACTGATGCGGCGTCAAGTACTAGCAGTAATCTTTCCGAAGAAATCAATGTAGAGCTAGCCAATCAAATTTGAGGCCAAAAAAATAAATTTTATTGGGAAATTTTTATAAAGTTTTTGTTCGGTACTTTATTTTCAATGTTTCTTCAGAAAGGAAAATGAAACACAGCGTACCACGCGTATAAAGAAATTATTTTAGGGTGTTGACCGCAGGGATGGTAAAATTGGAGGTCATTTGCCTTTTTTTCAAATGACCTAGGTCATTTCGGACTAAAATTCATAATAAATTTGGGGTCATTTGAGGTCATTTGAGGTCATTTGAAGGTCATTTGAAGGTCATTTACCATCCCTGGTTGACCGCGAAATCTGGTGTTTTAACACTCAAAAAAGTAATAAAAAAAAAATTCTGCCCAAAACAGGTATACTTCAGAAAAGTGGGTCTTCAAGAATTTATTAAAAGTTTTTTTTTTTACTGTAGATGTTGACAAATCGCACATGGGATTACTGTCCGAAGGATTGAAAAAAACGCAAGTTTTTTGTATTTACATTATTACCTTTATAAAAATACTGATCTCATCATTTACTTATTTATTTTATTCACTTTTTTTTTTTAAAACAGGTATCAATTGCACAAAAGAAATTTATTGATACTATGGATAAAGGTGGTAGATTTCTCAGAATGGTGTGATTTTACTGGTATGTTTAAAACGTATTTTATTTCTTTATACACACTAGTAGTGCTCCGAACGGGTCGGGTCGAGTCGGGTTATGGGTCAACCCGAACCCGATCCGAAATTTCGGGTCGGGTCGAAAACTTTCGGGTTAGAGCTTCAACCCGACCCGACCCGAACCAGTCCCGAATTTTTAAGGCCAATATACCGATACTAAAATTTTAAATTTTATTATAATTTTAATAATTTTGATTTTATAATAAATGTTGGGGATGATGCTGAAATTTAGAGTCCCCATTTAAATCTATAATACCTACTAAAATTCACATATATTTTTACCAACAATACTAATCTTAAACCCTAACCTAATCCTAACAAAAAGGCCCAAAATTTTTTGAAATTTCATAATAAAATAGCTCAAAATTTTAGCATCATTTTTGACAAAAATATACTAGCATCAAAGTATGTTTTTATATTTATATAATAGTAATTATAAGTTTAGAATTATGTTAATATACTAATAAAAATATTTTCAAACAATAGTACAACTATTTTTATTATATTTAGAGTAGCTTTTGTATTTAAAAAATATATATTATTAAATATTTTTTTTTTAAATATTAAGGTGATCACTTAGGCCCCTGGCATATAGCTTTATTTAGATAGTTACGATATTATATCAATTTCATGAGGATACAACTAGCCACACATGTACTTTTGGTATCTAATTTAAGTAGTCTACCTGGGTTTTATACTAGCTGTCATACCTGCAATATAACTAGGAGATTATCTATTTAAGCTCTCTAATTATTATTAATGAGAGTATGACTAGCTATACATACAATTTTTGATTATCTATTTAAGTAGTCTGCTCTAGGTTTTACACTAGCTATCATATCTGCACCTAACTATGAGAGATACCCATTTAAATTCTCTGGCTTCATTTTTGTAACATGCCTACTCTAACACTCTTATTGAGATTAGCAATGCTGTGAAATGATCCTAAAACTTTAGCCACATAGGCATTTATCCTTGTGATGAACCTAACAGAGTAGTACATGTCCCACATATGTACTCACTTGCATGTTTGGTAACTTTTTCCTAACTAGTACATGTTGTACTACTACTACCTGGTCTGTATCTCAAGCTATCTTTTCGGATACTGCTGTAACCCGATCCATATCTCAAGCTACAACCTTCCTAATTAGTTTTCACTTACGTACTTCTGCTCTTGCAAGGTTCACAATAACCACAGTATCCATGTTTCAACTTCCTTCTTTTTCAGATTCCTTACCAGTCACTCCTTTACTTCTAGCTAGCAACCCGGAAGAGTTGGTCTGCCTAGGCTTTAGGTGCCTTATGGTCTCTCTCCCCTTGGTATATGCTTTCAGAGTACAAGTTCTTTTTCTCCAG